ATCACCAGAGGGCAAAAAAATTGGTGATAAATGTGACTTGAATATATTTGGCGTTCCTCTGGGCTAAACAACACACGGAGCGCTGCAGACATTTCTCGCACGACGACACATTGCCAAGAAGTACCTTCTGTGCAGTTTTTACGCGTGAAACCAGCTATGCCACGGTCTCAAGGAACGCCCGATCAGAGCGAACGGCGGGCGGCCACGAGTTTGTCGGAAGAGCGAGCTCTGTCATCCACGTACGATCGCCGTGGTGCTGTCTCGATCGTCAGTCTGTGCAATGCATATGTGGCTACATATACATGTATTCCACTCAGCGCCCGATACCCGACCTTGTGATACGTGTGCAGGAGGTACGAGAAAGACGTGTCGATGGTCCGGTCACCGTCAAATCCAATCTTGCCTGGCCAACCTATTGCCAAAGAAATGCTGCAACGAACAGCGGTCGCTCAGAGACAAAGGCGAGTCAGTGTAACCTCGTCATTGAAAACGTTCGTTTGGGTTTTTGATTCGCTCAGCTGCATTTGAAGGTGCTGGTATGGGGAGGTACCTGACCCCAGGTGTCGACTGACCGCAATCAAGCGCAGTCGTATCAACCTCACCTCGAACCAACTGGCTAAGCGATGAACATACGTGTTGCGTGTCCGACTCGTTTGACTCACTTCAGCGGGATGTCAGCTTTGCTGGTCAACTCGACTTGGGGGCCGAAGATCACATGCAGTCGCATGCTTCGCAGGTAAAGATGCCGTGCTGAGTCAGCCGAACCAGATCATTCTCACACATAACGCGACATGTCCCACAGGACTCGATTGCCCACCTCTCACGGCCTCGTGGACAAGCATCTTAGTGTGAGTGGCAGCGGATGCTAGATGTCAACTGAGTTTTCGGCGTCTGGGAGCTCGGGATCACGGCGCCGTCCAAGTACGATGCCCATGACACTGCATTGTTACACCGTAACTTGCCGATGGCACACCAGATCGAAAATGCATGAATTGTTCTATTGGACAAAACACATGGTATTCTACATCAAGAGATTAGTTGATTGGCTAAAAACGTGCGATATGGGAAGAAATCACGTGGATTGGATAAAAGTATTTGGGATTCTTTTTCGCGACATGTACACAAGCGCAGCCACATGAGCGCATGACCACGTGGATGGCGGAATCGCCGACGGCATTCTTCAACCTCTTCACCCTCGCTCATGACAATGCAACATGATGTGTGCACGTGGCTCCACTTTATCGTGAGACCCTCTTTCAAGCACATATACCGGACGAAGGACCTGTACAATACGGAACTGAACCAAATCAAAGAAATCTTGAACTCCCGACCGACGACGACAACGACGATCCGTCGAGGCCCTCGATTGTTTCGCCGACACGTCGTGCCTCCAGTCCCAGAATGCCCCAAGTACCAAACGAAACGCATCAAAGTCTCCGACGTACGCGTCCCGTTCTCGACTGCCGTTGCGCGCAGATACAAGCTACGATACTCGAGCTTACCGACGATTCCAGAAGTGCCATGACGCGCTGTCTTCT